AACTACTATTCCACCACCACCTCCTGAGATACCAGCTGTTGTAACTACTATTCCACCACCACCACCTCCTGAGATACCAGTTGTTGTAACTACTATTCCACCACCATCACCTCCTCCTGAGATACCATCTGTGGTAACAGAAGGTGAGCATTAATATAAGCACAAATCAGTAATGTATTATCAATTACTAATTTTTTTTAATAGAATATCAATGTTTCTGGATGCTATGAACATTTCCTAAATTGTCAATAGCAATCTGTATGTCTACAATGTATGATTACCATATTTTTGCAGAAAACGGATTCTGATACACAAACACAGAATGTGTAAAATACCAGATTCTTGATGAATCGGATTATATTAACACCTATGTATCTGTGATTTTGACATTTTTTGCGAAGAATAACAATATACCCTGGTCCTAAACTATTAGTCAATGAATAAAGGATTTTGTTTTTTGCTATAATGAATATTTGTTATATATTATACAGTTGGTGAGGATGAGGATGAGGATGAAGAGGACGTTATTGCAATTGACTTAGCACTCCCAGCTGTTGCTGTTGATGGCCCTCCTAGCTGTTACGACCAGCAAGAAATGTTACGGTCATGTGGAACTAGAGGGACACGTGAAATTATGTTAAAATTGCAGTGCAGTCTTGGACAATATATTTATATAAATAGTGCCAGTTATGGTCGCGCTGCTGATGACGTGGGATGTGACATAGAAACCCCTTTAGCTGCTGATGAATGCGTGTCCGAGTCATCTCCCCAAGCAATAAGTTCACTGTGTAATGGAAGGCAAACATGCACTGTGCCATTTGGAACAAAATTCCATGGCGGGAATCCTTGCCCAGGACAAACAAGATTCCTCTCTGTTGATTTTAGTTGTGCTAATGAATGTAAGTTATAGTTGTTAACATAACTATTTAACAAAAACCAACAACCTGATTGAAGTTTACATAACAACATGCCCAAATGATATTCAAAGTTATAGTCATCACAGAGGAGATTATCGTAATGGGTAATGTAACAAATCTTGATGGTTTTGGAAATACCAACAAACAATATGTTTTTCGGGGGTATTTGATTTTTCGAGTGTCATTTCTAGTACACGACCAGTTGAATCACTTCAACTGAGCTTTATTTTGTTGCTTTCAGCATACGAGAAAATAGCCGTTTGGATGGCCGTGAATTACCATCACAAAATATCAAGTTTAATTAAGCAACCATGTTATTGCAAAAAGGCATATGACCAAAATCCTAAATAACAAACCTTTAAAGCCAATAAGATTTAAAACATTTCTCATATTTCAAACAGTCCACAAAAACATTACCGGAAAACTGATATCACGTACCAACAAAACACAACGACTGAAACAAATCAATAATACAAATGTATATTGATAACATAGTGTAAATGAAGTTCTGTCAGTTCGAAAATTGGTAAAACTCATAGGCTGCATTTTAATCAACGGGTAATGATAATATTAGTAAAACTCAGAATTCGGGTTTTATAATTTATACGTTTTTATTTTAATCATCGGGTAATGATATTATTATTTATGTATTGTTTCATAATTTGGTTACTTTAATTTATTGGCAGATTATGTTGTCCTAGTGCAAATTCCCAGACATATTCTCATCAATGTGGCTCAGTTGATTTGAAGAAAATTATGTCATCTTTACCAATTT